GCAGGATTTACTCCCTTCTCAGAGTTTGGAACCAGGTCTCCGGCAGGGGGCTCTTCTCCTCAGCCTTGCAGGGCTGGCTGTAGTGTCTATGTCATGCTCTTTGCTCCAAGCACTTCCTTCTGTTCTTTACTTGTAACACTTAGGATAGGCTTAGACCTGAGCTGCCCACACCCGAAACCTCCTGCCAGATCTCTCCTGTCATACATAGTGTACCCAAGCAGGAGCCCACTGGGCCTGTGGCCAAGCAGTGGGAAACCAATTGTGCCTTGTTTCCAACTATCGACTCTGCCCTTATTCCTCCTGTTGGGCCTGTCTGGCTTTGTTCCTTAGGCTGGAGCTAAGGCCAAAACTCTCCGATGACCACTTGGTGGGTGTCCCCCTCTAGATTCCCACTGGTCAAGGAGGGTGGGGGAGGCTAAGTGATTGTGCCTACATAGATCCTCTCCCAGATCTCTCTCAAGAAGGGGGACAGACTGATCCAAGTGAGTGCTACAGCCACTGGCTCCTGGGACACAGCTGAAATCATGTCCTGTGCATGTGGGCCTAACCGTCATCATCAGCCAAGGCTCCATAGGCTACAGCTCTAGACTCTTACTGATGCCCACTTACACGTTGTCAAGCCTTCTCTGCCTGTCAGTCCCACAGCACTTGATAGAGCTGCCTCAGCCCCATCATCTGGCATTTGTTGAACCTAGTAGGTCCCCTTTAGGTGCACTGCTGTTCTTCTTGACCCAAGGGGCAGCTTTGACACTGAGCCAATGCCTGTTGATTTCTGTTAAATAGCCAGCCCAGCCTGCAGGGAAACCAGGGGAAGAGTAAGAGGCTGCACTTCAACCTGGCTGCTCCAGAGCAATATCCTACAGAGCCTGTTCTGCTCTTGCTGGCAGGGATCTGTTTGCAGTCATTGCTAGAGCCCCAAATTATATGTAATTGCCTTCCTCCAAATCTGAGGGCTCTCAACTGAGTGTCCGTCCTGGTGCCTAGCATGAGTGGAGTCATGTTAACAGTGTGGGTCCTTTCCTTGTACTGGCCATGCCTGTCTTTTGACCCATTTTGGTCCCATGTTCCTAAGGAGCAGTCTTCTCACTTCCTCATGCTCATCCTTCCATGTGCTCTTGTTCAGTCCCTCCTGTCCTGCCTCAGGCTCTGTACCCACTTCTCCACAGCCAGAGCCAATGTCTAAATGACACCCATCCTGTGAGCTGCAGCTGCTCCTCAGCCCTGTCTCTAGAGGCAGACTCCAGGGGTCAAAATCCTAGTACAGCTCAGGGCTGGGGCCCTCCTGTCTTGGAAAGGAACTGTAGGATGCTCCTGTGATGGCAGTGGCTCAAGAGCTGGCCCTATCCTGGCAACCCACCCTTGCTAGCATTGCTGTTTGGTGGGTCTCAGGGCCACAGGTGCCGCAGTTTTGCCAGACTGGATACTGGAGCTGGGAAGGAGGCATGCTCATCACCCCCCTCCTCCTGGGCTGGAGTGCTTTGTGCCCCAGTGGCAGTGGGAGGAACACTGGCAGCAGGCTTGCTGGCACCTGTGCTGTGCTGTGCTGAGGTTTAGCTGTTCCCACCTCTGGAGGGCTGTCAGGATAGGAGCTCAGCACTCCCTGTCCTGGTTCTGTTTGGGCAGAGCTGGGGGAGGAATGGGTGCTACCCCCTGGGGGCGGTAGCAGGTGCTGTGATTGTGATGTGGGTGCTGCTCGTGCCTGGTACTGCCCATGGTGCTGGAAGCAGGGGCCCCCAAGCATGTGTACAATGAGCTGTGTGCAGGGCCCTGCCAAATGGCTAGTACATGGCAGAGATGGCTCCAGCTCTGCCTAGCAACTTCCTTTGTTTACTGGCTGAGCAGAGCACCTTTGCTGCAAGGGAGATCCCCAGCAAGTCATGGTCTGTCTGTTGCTAAGGCAGATTCTTAGCCCTTTGGGGGCTAGGCAGAAGGCTGAGTCTAAGTATACACATCCCTGGCCCGCAACATCCTCCTTCCCACAGAGCAGCTTTGGCAGCGGTGGGGAAGCTGTGCCTGGAAAGGAGCCACCAGTCCCAGGCTGCAGCTGTTGGGACTGGGAGAGGGGAGGAAATGCACCTTTAGAGACCAGCACTCTGGATGCTGCAGAGTAATCTGTGCTGAGTGAACACCTCTTGGCTGAGCTCCTTCTGTTGAGCAGCTTCTGTCTCCCCCTCCCCACACTTAACTCAGCCTCACTCCTCTGCTTGGTGGAGATTTTGCTTTCTTCCTTTGACCTCCTTCCTGGCCTGATGTGGGAGCATTCTGCAGGTAAGGCCTTGAGCTGTCCAGCCTCTAGGTGCATAGTGAGGCAGCGCATGGCAGATCTGTCCCTGTACAAATAAAGCCACGGGCCAAGGCAGAGCAGGGGCACTACATGGGTGGAAGGCATCAGTCTTGCTGTGCTGGAGCAGGGCCCCACTTGCAGAGTTAGCTCATGGTTGGCATCTTCACCCAGCCTGGCAAGAGTGCTGCCCCTGTGGCCCTGAGACTCACCAAGCAGAGCAGTGCCAGCACGGAGATGCGGGCACCTGCCTGCCTGAGGCCTGCTACCATGGCTCCCATGGGATATTGAGTGCAATGCATGGGACAAAAGCTTGGTGTCATTCAACTTCTGCATTCCTTCCCCTTGCCCCCTCCCCCTCCCCCCGGCCACTGCTCTGTGACAGCAGCCTCTTGGCCCCCTTTGTGGTAGGCTGCCCTTTCCCACACTCCCCTTAAATGTGGAACAACTTCCCAGCCAGTGAAGCCCTCCCAGAGTTGAGTACAGCAGAGCTTGTGCTCACATGGACATGGTTGTGCAGCCTGCTATGCCTAAGCCCTTGCTATTTGCCCCAGGATGGGGGTCTGACAACCGCTGGGGCAGAGCTCCTCTAGCTACAACTCTTTGAGGGGCTTGCTAAGCTTTTGATCCTGGGGGTGGGAGGATGTCTGTCTTACAGCACTGTGTGGGCTCTTGTAGAATAGGAGACAATACTTGGAGCAATGGGGCCCTTTCAGGG